ATATATATATATATATATATATATATTCATTTAGAAATTATCAAGAGAGATGTTGCTGGTTTTGCTATTGGAGGACTGAGTGGTGGAGAATCAAAAGATAGCTTTTGGAAAATGGTTGACGTCAGCACCGACTTGCTACCTAATGATAAACCTCGTTATCTTATGGGTGTTGGGTAAATATGATATATTTCATATAAGAAGATGTAAAAATTATATTAATTTATTTTCTGTTATGTTTACTAAGTAACAAGTAAATTAAAATATATTTATTATTTGAATTATTTTGTTACTGTGAATTATAGATATTGTTTCTGAATCTCTTTAGTAATTTTTAGTTGCCAGAGCTAATATTGAAAGGTTAAAAATACTAAAAATCTCTTTTTCTGTGTTAATGAATTATTTATTTTAGTTAAAAAATATATTAAAATAATTAAAAACTTTTAAAATTAGTTTAATTGCAGTCATTATGGAAATGTAAAAACATTAGAATAATAATTTAATTCATTTGAATAACTCAGATATTTTAAGATTTATTTCTATCATTTCTATTAAGAGCAGAATAAATATTGCACATTTTTCAGTATTATTGTTTGCAGTTTTCATACATAATGAATTTTATGAAAAATACTAGAATACATTATGAAGTACTTGTCATCTATGGCATGCAATATACAGTGGAACCTCGGTATATGACCTTAATCCATTCTTGATGTTTGGACTTATACCGAATAGGACATATACCAAACCAACCTTTCCCATAAGAAGTAATGTAAAAATGATTAATTTGTTCTCATGTAAAAAAAATGGCTGGCTTTAAACACCTCGCTTTCCTGGCTAGTTCCTGCTTGATTTTTCATGAGATCAGCATGTATCTTTTTAGCTTTCTTGCAAATAATTGCTTCTGATACGCTGTTGCCAGCACACTGTTTTTCAGTTATCCAAAGCAAAAGCAATTTCTCAACATGATCTAATGTCTTCAATCTCTGAAATTGATTTAACCCCTTTTGCAACATTAGCAGATTTAATAATGTCTTTATTTTTCATGATTGTCAATATTATTGTTCTCAGAATACGGTATGCAACAGTTAAATCTCGAATATGCATGTCACTTTCATATTTCTCAACAATCTTTTTTTTCAGTTCCATTGTGATTCTAGTCAATTTTTTAGTTTTCTGTTGCTTTTCATTTGCCTTTTTGCAATTCATCATGAATAAAACTAATTAAATTTTACTTACAAATTAAAATCAGAAGAAATTTAACAAAGTTATAAACCGTGGCACCGCGAACGTTTAGTCTGGCCTACTACAACGATAGTGCTACTTGTTCATAGATGGCGCGTATAATTGAATTAAATTAAGTCGTATACCGAACAAAAGTCGTATACCGAGCAAAATTTGTTTTGTCCAAACAGGACGTATTCCGAATTGAACGTATTCTAAAACAGACGTATACCGAGGTACCACTGTATTCTAGTTAAAGTATGTGGAATTCGAACAACAAGACAAAAAGACAATACTTTAGATCAGTGCGCGATAAACAATTACAATTCCTATTGTTCTTATGAATATAGTTAGTGTTAATAGATGACTATTTTTAAATGAAAATTTTTCGAAATATTTTAAAACATTTATTTTAAAATTTAATTTCATCACTAACGATACATATAAATTACAGTTTCTGTACAATTCTGCATTATGATATTATAACAGATGTAAAATTCCAAACAAATAAACTAAAAACAAGATTTTTTAAAAATTTAACATTATATACTATAAAGAAAAAACGAATTTCAATCGGTCAGATAATAAATTTAAAAATTTGACACTAAATCCGACGAAATAATTCTTCGTTTCAAACATGGAATTAAATTTAGATAATGCTCAGATCATTATATACGAAGTTTGACGTTGTTTATACATAACAAACGGACATACTCATATAATGATATATCAATATTCTGGAAATAAAAAACAATATAAAAATAAAAAGTTTAGTTTATTTAAAAAATACAAGTTTACTTACGTTCAATCCACAAATTACATTCGTTGTTATCCCCTGTATTAGTTCGTTATATACATTTATAAAAACAGTGATGTCAAAACACTTCCAATGCATCACGTGTTCCAACGAAAATGGAAATCCACACACAGCTAACACGTTCATCAAATTGTACATCCCTCTCTCGTATAATCTGCTCAAGTGGATATGTCTCGGGTTCAACACCACCTAAAATTTGTAATTTTATATATTATAAATATATTATAAAGTTTGATTTAAGTAAATACTTCTACATCACCTACATTATCTTTATAAGAATCGCAGTTATTTGAAACAAGGATAGCCTGTAGAATTAATGCATTTAATTCGCATATATTCAGCACCACACCGTTTCTAATCATGTAATTTACAAGACAACAGAAACTAAGTAGAGTCGGTTCCACTTGTCTAAGAGTTTCAATTGTGATATTTGTTCCCAAACAATACGCAAACAATTTCCATCGAATGGGTACCATATACTCTTCGTCCGATAATAGATGTTCCAAAGGTGGAATATAATCTAAATGAGATAATAAAAATTACAATAATGCACACAATACAGGAACTAAATAGAACTTACCATTGTATTTCATATAAAAACTTGATATTAAACTAGTCCTACACATGTTTACTGTATTGTAGATCCATACCTCCATTATATAAACATTTCCTCCTCTGAAAAGAACACGATACATTTTTCTTCTCATTGTCCTATACAAGGAAACGGAAAATGGTAACGACGGGTCTGCAAAGTCTCCTAAATATAGGTTTTCAATGTATTTTTGATTCTTTAACAGAAAATAGATTTTAGGAGGCATTTCACACAGAGTCCATTTCTGCTCGATGTAAGTTAACAATTTATTGTGGGAGAGTTCATCAACATCAGTGTCTGACGTACCGTACATTTTGACTTTCTTCCGTAGCAGGTTTTCACTTATTCCGGTGATTTCTGATATAGAAGACATGTCCTGTTCATTTCCATTCCACTTGTTTTCTTTGATGACATTTATGGTATTTTCAAGTTGTAATACGTTGTCGTTTTCTAAATTTGCCAATGTAATGCCACGTTGTTCTCTCTGAAGACAGCTTAAGAGTTTTAATTGAGAGCGATTTAAACTTATCTTCGTGAAGAATTCATTTGGGTCATACATTTCTGTAATCGTTGAATTAAATTGTAGATCTGTGAAACGAAAGATGGGTTTTGTATCATATATTAAATATTCTGCATTCGTCGTGAGAATTCCTAAACAAGCATCGTCATCTCTTGCTATTGTGGCTAATTTTGAAAAGAAATTTTCTCTTACAATCAACACGTGACATTGACATTCATATTTTAAAATGTAGCTGAAAATGGAATACATTTTGCCGAGTGTGTTGTCAGCATAATATTGTAGAATGAATTTAAAATTATCTCTAAACCACCGCAAAATATTCCAGGCTATTTTATTGTCGTTAATGATGCGCTTATTCTGTCTAATTTCTTTAAAACCTTGTAATGCTCCTTTAAAATAAAATTGTGGTTCGATATTTATAATTCGAAGATTATTTACAAAACTTTTCACCTGTGCAATAAAAATGTGGTGATTGCACGTATAAGATAAATGCGTATTAAAGTATTCCATCTTATGAATACCAGAAAAATCAACTATTAACGTGGATTGTTTACCAGTTAGCAATTCGTTTTCCATAGCCAATTCTGGTAAAGATGCATTTTTGCATAGTCCATGCTTTTGCATATAACTAAAATATACGGAGAGTTTCATTTTCTCAAAAGTTATACCTTTAGACAGTCAATCAATCTGTAAAAAAATAGACTATACGTCAACTAAACTTATTACAGTGGTTTTAACTGAAAAATTTGCACTTTTAATGCCTGATTAATTTTGTATTTCAACTCTCTTTCATTTGGTCTAAGTATTAAATATTATATATAACGAATTGCCAGTAAAAATTAAGTAAAATTTACTAAATACATCAAGCGAAGTCTCTTAATACTTAATGTTCATGACACTACTTTCTGGAAGAAAATGTAAATGAGGACTGACCTGGATTTGAAAAATTAAACGATAATCGGATTAATTATCCCTTTGTATCAAATTTCTTGAGTTAATTCGAAAGTTTCCTTAAAATTGTATCGTATAATTCACAGTGAAACTATGTTTTTTTGTATTAACGAGTCATGTACATTTCTTTTCATAATAAACACGAAACTTTATGAAAATTTCTGACCCGCACGTGATCTGTAAATGTTCTTCGTACGAATGCCTACACTTATTTAAATTAAACTCGATTATTATCGTTATTAAAGTTTTATTATAAGTAAAATGTAAAGGAATAAGTTATTTTATACAGAAATTTGTGGATAATTTGAATAATTTTTCAAACAATACAATTAAACAATAAATTTAATTTATATCGAAACAATATTTTTATTTAGTAATAAAAACATTTATTTCATAAAAATATTAAATAATTCATTAAAAAAATCAATAACATATAATAGAATGGAATAGATATAATACCGTGTAAACCAGTCTAAAGCGGTACTTGTATTACACAGAAATCTACATAAACAGAAAACTTCGAATCGGTGATTTTATATTTTAAATACTACAATAAGAGAATACCCGTCCAATACGAAAACGGGAGACTTTTTGAGTGTGAAGAACGTAACTTAACCCGAATAAAGCGGAAAAACAAACGTCTTTGCTAGTTTGTGTGTTTAGTTATGTCAAAACAACACAGGCAATTTACCTAGGGGTATGCCTTTAGGGACATTTTTAAAGGGTAACTGGCCCTTATTCAGGCGTTACTGATGTGGAGGAAACGCGGAAATCTCCACGTGGCCATCCCGTCCTGGAGAGGCGCGAATCCACGATTGCACTTCCGGTGTTCAGGGAACTGAACCGCTTGGCCATCGTTGGGTCCTCTTGCTAATGAAATGATATAAAAGAAAAACCAATGAATACTGTCTTAAAATACCAACCTGCATTAAAATCTTGTACAGGAGTGAACTCGACTTTTTATTTAATATTTTCATATACTTGTCCATGTCTGAGATATATTTTACTTCACCCAATCCATGTATAAAACATGGAGAGGATGTGACAGAATAACCTGACGGTTTTTAAATCGATTGAATGAAATCGTAATGATTTGGTTAGACATTTAAACCAAACACGCTGCTTAACCAAGATATTGCTAAATGGCTTTAATATAAGTAGCTGAAAAATGGTGATTTTTACTTTCCAGCTGTTATATAACAGAGATACTGTACTAGACAATATGATAATATATTTTTAGCAAAAAACCCTTGACAGCTCTGACTAAGGCAGGTTTCAGACGAACCACTCGGTCACTTGTACCAGTGACTTAGGCTCGTCCCTCAAAAGTTGTCCGCATGAAAAACTCTTAAATGGCTGTGTGAAAACATAGCTTCGAAATATAAGGTATTCAATGGGGAGATGAATGGACACAATCGAGTTGCTAGGTGTCGTCCATTCAACTGACCGCTGTATGCTATTAGCCTTTAATTAGCGAATTAATTAACTAATAATTATTTAATTGTTAATAAAGCCATTAGATTAATTAGCCCTTTATAAAAACGATACGTGCCAAAACGGAAAGATCTGACTAGTACCTTCGCTTTCCGTTTTATGCAGATTTTACCGTATTAAAATCTTAAACAACAATATTTACCTACGAAATCAGTGTTTTCGCTATATAATTTATTTGTTACTTTTAATTAATGTATAACCGCTTTGGCATATGAATTTAAGTAGGGATTTTCAGTTATCTTCCATCTGAGAAAACAAATATGTATTCATATTCTTTTATATTTCAATTTATAGTAATATATTATTTACTAGCAGATGATCCTGGCGTTGCTCGAGCAAAAAATAACAACAGAAATGTTTAAGATTATTAAATTAATTCGTACTTCTAATCTTATATTATATTTTAGTATTTGATTTAAATTTACAAAGGTTATCTTACGTAAGAGTTTATCACACCAAGTAATCAAGCTATTGCATTTTAAAAATTCTTTAAATTCATATTCTGTGCTCGCCGATAACATTATATTATGTAATTTTTTTATTCGAATGCCGCCATACCGCTGGTCCGATAGAAAAATAGGACTGTTACAGAAGGGGATTAAAATAATTCGACCAAAGTAGTTGTTGACCTCCTCCCAGAAGAGAGGATGGTCAATGACTACTAATTAATACTATTAATATTTGAAAAGTGATCCGTTATAGACAGGTTGTAATGGTCCCACATGTGATAAAATTTTCTAACCTTAACGTCCGAAAGACTTCATATAAGATTTCTTTAAATAAAAAATTGTAAAATGTTTAGAACAATCCCATTTATGTGTTAATAAAGTGGTTAAATTTTGGCAACAGATTGTATTATATACGTGGGAAGTACCGGTATGTTCTCGTAAATGTTACGTTTATAAAAGAAATTACTGGGCTGCAATTTGAAAAAAATATAAACCTATAAATTTCGACTCTTGTCCACTGTCTGACTGACTGTCCTTCCTCAATCTCTAGAAAGGGTTTAGATAGATTAAAGTCGAGACAAGAAGTGGAAAGCATAGGGCAGCGTGGCTGGTTAACATTACTTTTGTTCCATTGTTTCGGTTTTGGAACGAAAGTAATGTTACGTCGATTCAAAATTTTCCCTTCAATAGAGTTATTTAGATGACCGACGACTCTACTGTTAATACGAAAAGTATGATGTATAGAGGCACGACCACTACTAAAAGAATTGAAAACATTGTGACAAAAGATGTAGTCCGGTATAGTGAAGATGTTACAATAAATATTCACTCGTTAAAACTTATTTGGTTTATTTGGTTATGGCAAAGCGATACGTTAGTGATCTGCCAAGGCAAGGAGAGACATTCCTGAAAGAGTTTTATGTGATGATGACCCCGATTTAAGTGTTACTAACGTGAAGAAAACCCAGAACACTCCACCATTGACCATGCTCGAACCCACGACCAACTACCGGTGTTCGGTGGTTTTACCATTCGGTTACTGGAGGGCACTTATTGGGCTTCTATTGGAAAAAATGTAGACCTATAAATTTTCAGTGGCTCCAGCGTTTCCAAAACTAGATGGAAACGCCACCTAGAAAGAATCTTTATTACTTAAAACTAATAACTTATAACTTAAACCAAGGAAAAGAACAGGAGGACTGAAAACCAAAATAATGCAAAGCAGTATAACTCGAAAATGAGGTGGCCTAGAAATACGAAACTAACAGGAACAAAGCACCTACTAAGGGAACGAATTACAAAGGAAAAACGTAACTACAAAAAACGATAACCACAAAAATGCCAAAATACTAACACCGAAAGAGATATGAAAACAACTTGGCAGCTGAAACTGGCTTAATAAGGCCTAACTATGGACTTACAACCGAAAAGGTTAAAGAAAAACTCAGTAAAACCAGAAAAACCCGAAATACTGTACTTCGAATACGAGTTGACTGAGAAATAAATTATATATAATTTTCGGTATCGAACCATNAAAAAAAATTATTCACCACATATAAAAGTGTAACTTATTTATTCGTCAATGTTTAATTATTCATGAAAATATGTTGCAGTGCTCGAGATGTCAACATTTTCTAACAACTAGTTTACTAAAAATAATTACTTTGTCAGGAACTTTTATTAATAAAGAGTATCTTTTAAAGTGACACATTATAAACCCTTACTTACATCCAGATGTTAAAGTAAATGCTGAGTGAAGTGTTAATGAAGTTGAGGGTACGTCCTGAATGTTAACCAAGTTACTCTCAGAAATTATAAATTCATTACGTGCATAAAGTCGATCAAGAAGACCTTTCTTCTTTTCTAACTGATGAAAACCTGATAGATTAATGCTCATAATAACAGCTGAAACAATTCTGGGTGCTGCACGTCCCCGGTTAACATCCAGCACCCTAAGTAAAACATTCCAATCTATTCAACTGCAGGAAATTTTGAATTGGATAGTGAAATCATTTTATATGCCTGTTTCTCTAGACGGGATTTGTCATATTCTCTCAGCATTTATGCTGTTCTTTCTTAATTAAACAGAGCTTGCAAGTAACTTCTGCATCGAACCCCTCATTTTCGTTGCTTTCTTCGCAGATATCTTGAACATAGTCATGACACTCTAAACACTAATGAGTTCCTGAGGTTTCATTTCACAAAGAACAAAGATTTTTCTTAAATTTTCAGCTTATTCTAAAATAATATTTTTTTTTGTCGATTCTTGTATGATTTCCTTATCATCTTTCTTTTCCAATATATCTGTGACTTCTTCAACTTCTTTATTTTGTGCTTTCTCTACTTCGTTTAACTGTTTATCATCTATATTGTACTGGTTTTGTTGATCATCATTTTTAGAGGTACAAATCGCTGTGCGTCGTATCATCCTCTATGTTGGTCGCATCGCCAACGTTGAAAACGCATTATGGCTTATTTTAATCACCACAACGCGTAGTGGTCAAATAACATAAAAGCTACGACACGAATTTCGTTTTGTAGTCTTTTTGGAATTAGTCACAAAGCCTTTGCCTGTATTTTCGCTCATTGAGCGTTTTCGTTCGTTGAGCCTAACAGATTTATTGATATAAGTTGTGATGATAAATGATGGTCGCTTTCTATGTCACGGCAGTTTCAATTTCGCGTAGTTCGAACAAAAGTTTGTCACAGAAACTTTTGAAAATACAATAGATGCATTCTATGCAAGTGAATCAATCGCCACTATCAAACAAAAGATAAGAAAAATTAGATGTTCTTTCTACCTAAGTATTTCTTTCGATACGCAAGATTTTATGTCGAAGATTTAGAAGAATATGGATAAAATACAATTAAAAACAATGTTAACGAATAGTGCTCATTTTTGAATACCTGTGGAGTTTGCATGTATTGTGAATATATTGTTCAAATCTATTGTTTATGTTTTGGTGGTTTTATTCTGTTGTTAGAAGGTGGCATTTCTACTCGCTTAACCTCTAATCGGTGTTCTCAATTGTAAATCATTGTATGAAAAAATAAATAGAACGTAAACAAAATTTACAAACTCTAGCATTAAGTAGGTGAAAATAACCAAATAATTTATATAGAGAAAATATACAATTTCTAAATAAAAATCATTTTCACTGCTAAACTGTGTTAAGAGTGTCTGATTTTAACAAGAAATATTTTCTGTAAATTCTAATTTATGTCGGTTGAAACAAATTGCGTATCATCTTATCAGTTTCCTTGTAAATTTAAACCGAAGCAGGAAAATTATTAGAGTAAAAGATTTCTGTTTGAAAGCAAGTACTTTTCAAAGTACTTGCTTTCAAACACTTTTTGAAAAGTACA